AATACTGTGTGTGTGTGTGTGTGTGCGCGGCGACCATGCCCCCAGACCCCCCACCCCACCAACAACACACACACACACACACACAACACCGCGCGCAGGACCACCCCTTTGCCCAGCTCAAGGGCAGCGACAACATCATCGCCTTCACCACGCAGCGCTACGCCAAGCAGCCGCTGATTGTGCGGGGGCCGGGCGCGGGCGCCGAGGTCACCGCCGGCGGCGTCTTCTCAGACCTGCTGCGCCTGGCTGCCTGTGAGTGGGGGCGCGGGGCGGCGTGTGGCGGCGTGGTGGCGGCGGGCCTGCGCCTGGCTGCGGCACAAGCATGTGTGGGGCCGCGCCTCCCAGCTGTGCTGGGCTGTGCGCTCATCCCCGCTCTGGCGCTCCGCTCCTGCTCCCCTGTGCAGACCTGGGCGCCCCCTCGTGAGTTTGATGCACGGGGGCCGCAGGCGAGCTGATGCCGACAGCGCAAGTCACCGCGCTTGCCGGCGCCGCCTGACGGTGCGAGCTTGAAACCGTCTGCTTCGCGTCTGTCGTTTTCTTTACCCCAGACTGAGACAAGAGGGGCGGACCTCTCACCTTGGTTTTTTGGGGGACCTCCCACCTTGGTTTATCCTTGCTGTTTGAACTTGCATGCCATTAAACATGCCCTCCCAACCGGCTGTGTACTGAACGAACTGTGCCGCGGGCCCAGGCAGTTAAGGTGGTGGCGGCGGCGGCAGGGGGGGCGGGGCACCCTTGCAGCGCTGCGGGGCATTGCCGTTGCAGTGTGATACCACCCCAGGAGTGCCGGTATTGGCTGCTGCCCTGCTTGGCCAGCCCTCGCCCCAACATGCGAGGCTGGTGCAGCTCACGGGAGGGGGCTTGCAGGCGCCATGTGACACTGCATTGCCAATGTTCAGCCCGTGATCGACGCTGAATGCAGAATGGGGGTGCCGGGGCGTCAAGCAACACGGGCCCGCTCGTCCTGGGTCCGCATGCTGGGCCAGGCGAGGGCGCATTCATGGGCTCGCCAGGCCTCCATCGCCCCTCCTCCTCGACCTTGGTGTGCTCCTGGCGGTCCCAGCGGTCTCAGCAGCAGCAAAAATGGTGGCCACCCAGTTTGCTGCTCGCGCCGCCCGCCCGGCGTTTGTCGCCCGGGCTGCTCGCCCCCAGCAGCTGCGCGGCCGCCGGTCTGTGCGCGTGTGCGCCAAGGTGAGCCTGGGAGGGCGGCAGAGCCAGGTTTTCGATCGCAGGGGATTCCTGCGGGCGCCTGGGGCGCTGCAAGGCCCTGATGCGGGGCCCCACTGCTTCGGCATGGAGAATGTGGGTCCCTGGCAGCAGCAGCCAGCACCCCGGACGGCTGCACCAACCAGATAACCCGGCGGGCTGGGGGCAGCGCAAGATGGGTGGCCGGGCCAATGCAGCAGCAGCGGTCGCCGCCAGCAGTCCAGGAAGCAGACTGGACCCCACCAACCGCGCCGCACGCCGGGGAGCAGCCGGGCTGCTGGCCCCATGGCACTGCCGCCACGCAGCCCGGCCCGGGTCTGCGGCCGCCGCAGCCTCGCCGCCGCAGCGGTTGGCGCGCTGCTCACCGCCGCCGCCCCCCTCCCCCGTCGTGGCTGCAGCTGGAGCT